GTGGTGACTCCCAACCATAAAATTATTTTCATTGCAGCCCAGGCGGTGGTGGCGCACGCCTTTAATCCCAACCTGGTCTATAAGAGCTAATTCCAGGATAGACACCAAAACTACAGAGAAACCCTGTCTTTTAAAACAACAAAAAAATTATTTTCGTTGCTACTTCATTATACTGCAATTTTGCTACTGTTATGAATTGTAATGCAAATATCTGTGTTTTCCAGTGGTCATAGGCAACCCCTATGCAAGGGTCCTTTGACTCATGCTCCAGGGTGCCATAAACCACAGGTTGAGAAAACTGTTGTAGATCATAATACTGTTTTTTTTTAAATATTTATTTATTATGTGTACAATATTCTGTCTGCGTGTTTGTCTGCAGGCCAGAAGAGGGCACCAGACTTCATTACAGATGGTTGTGAGCCACCATGTGGTTGCCGGGAATTGAACTCAGGACCTTTGGAAGAGCAGGCAATGCTCTTAACCACTGAGCCATCTCTCCAGCCCCCATAATACTGTTTTGACTCAGTTTAATTTTTGCAAATTCTATATGGATTTTAAAAACAAAGGCAAGGCAGGAAAGGTGGCCCAGGTGTGCAATTGCGGCTTTTGAGAGGCTCAGTTTGGAGGCCTGCAGGGTGTTTGATGTGAGCTCCTGGAAAGCCCAAGCTATAAGTGTAGACCCCGCCTCAAACAAACAACAGACTTTAGCTTTCGTTTCCTGAGTGTTAGCCTTGTCTATACCTAATCCTGGGCCCACTTTTCTGATGATTTTATTTTATTTTTTGAGTGAAAGACAGGCTTTCACTGTGTGCTCCAGGCTGTCTTCAGCTGCAGAAACTTGTACCTCCACCTTCTAAGAAACAAATATGTACATCTATGGGTCTCTTATGTGTTTTGTTTTCTTGTGGTGGCTAATGTGAACATTGCTTTATTGCTTTTATTTTTATATATTTTTCTCCACTCCACTCTCTTTCTTCCCTCTTCCCTTCTACTCTCTCCTTTGACCTCCATATTCCCAATTTATTCAGGAGATCTTGTCTTTTTCTTTTTTCTATGTAGAACTGTATATATCTCTCTTAGGGTCTTCCTTGTTGTCTAGGTTCTTTGGGGTTATGAATAGTAGGCTAGTTTTTCTTTGCTTTAGGTCTAAAAGCTACTTATGAGTGAATACATATTATTTTTGTCTTTATGGGTTCGGGGTACCTTACTCAATATGTTTTTTTCTAGATCCATCCGTTTGCCTGTAAATTATTTTTTCCACTATGTAATATTTCATTGTGTAAATGCACTGCATTTTCTTTATCCTTTCTATGGTTGATGAGCATCTAGGTTGTCTCCAGGTTCTGGCTATGACAAATAAAGCTGCTATGAACATAGTTGAGCACATGCCCTTGTGATATGATTGAGTGTCTTTTGGGTATATACCCAACAGCAGCATTGCTGGGTCTTGAGATAGATTGTTTCCTAATTTTCTGAGAAATTGCCATACTGATTTCCAAAGTCGCTGTACCAGTTTGTGCTCTCACCATCAATGAAGGAGTGTTTCCCTTTCCCCACATCCTCTGCAGCATAAGCTGTCATCATTGTTTTTGATCTTGGTCATTCTGACAGGTGTAAGATGGAAGGAATCTCAGAGTTGTTTTGATTTGCATTTCTCTGATGGCTAAGGATGTTGAACATTTCTTTAAGTGTCTTTCAGTCCTTTGAAATTTGTCTGATGAGAGTTCTCTGTTTAGGTCTGTACTCCATTTTTTAAATTGGATTATTTGTTCTTTTGATGTCAAGTTTCTTGAGTTCTTTGTATATTTTGGAGATCAGTCCTCTGTTCAATGTGGGGTTGGTGAAGATCTTTTCCCATTGAGTAGGCTGCCATTTAGTCTTGTTGACTGTGTTATTTTCTTTACAGAAGCTTCTCAGTTTCAGGAGGTTCCATTTATTAATTGTTTCTCTCAGTGTCCGTGCTGCTGGGGTTATATTTAGGAAGTGGTCTCCTGTGCTAATGCATTCAAGTGTACTTCCCACTTTCTCTTCTATAAGGTTCAGTGTGATTGGCTTTATGTTGAGGTCTTTGATCCATTTGGACTTGAGTTTTGTGCATGGTGATAGGTATGGATCTATTTTCATTCTTCTACATGTTGATATCCAGTTATGCCAGCACCATTTGTTGAATATGCTTTCTTTTTTCATTTTATTATTATTTTTGCTTCTGTGTCAAAATCAGGTGTTCGTAGGTGTGTGGAATGATATCTGGGTATTCTATTAGGTTCCATTGGTCCTCCTGTCTGTTCTTATGCCAATACCAGGCTGTTTTCATTATTGTAGCTCTGTAGTAGAGTTTGAAGTCCAGGATTGTGATGCCCCCAGAAGTTCTTTTGTTATACAGGATTGTTTTGGCTATTCTGGGTTTTTTGTTTTTCTTTATAAAGTTGAATATTGTTCTCTTGAGGTCTATGAAGAATTTTGCTGGGATTTTGATGGGTATTGCATTGAATCTGTAGATTGTTTTTGGTAAGATTGCCATTTTTGCTATGTTAATTCTACCTACCCAAGAACATGGGAGATCTTTCCATTTTCTGGTGTCTTCTTCAATTTCTTTTTTTTTTAAATATTTATTTATTTATTTATTTATTATGTATACAATATTCTGTCTGTGTGTATGTCTGCAGGCCAGAAGAGGGCACCAGACCTCATTACAGATGGTTGTGAGCCACCATGTGGTTGCTGGGAATTGAACTCAGGACCTTTGGAAGAGCAGGCAATGCTCTTAACCACTGAGCCATCTCTCCAGCCCCCAATTTCTTTCTTCATAGTTTTTAAGTTCTTGTCACACAGGTCTTTCACTTGTTTGGTTAGCATTACCCCAAGGTATTTTATATTATTTGTGGCTATTGTGAAGGGTGATATTTCTCTGATTTTTTTCTTGGCCCATTTATCATCTGTATAAGAGAGGGCTACTGATTTTTTTTTGAGTAAATTTTGTATCCTACTACATTTCTGAAGGTGTTTATGAGTTGTAGAAGTTCCCTGGTAGAATTTTTGGGGTTATTTAAGTATACTATCATATTGTCTGCAAATAGTGATAATTTGACTTCTTTTCCAATTTGTATCCCCTTGATCGATCTCCTTTTGTTGTCTTATTGCTTTAGCTATAACTTCAAGTACTATATTGAATTGCTATAGAGAGAGTGGACAACCTTGTCTTATTCCTGATCTCAATGGATCACTTTGAATTTCTCTCTTGATGTTGGTTGTTGACTTGCTGTATATTGCCTTTACTATGTTTAGGTATGTTCCTTGTATCCCCATTCTCTCCAAGACTTTTATCATGAAGGGGTGTTGAATTTTGTCGAAGGCTTTTTTTTTTTAGCATCTAATGAGATAATCATGGTTTTTTCCCCTTTCAGTTTGTTTATATGGTGGATTAAATTGACAGATTTTTGTCAATGTTGAACCAACCCTACATCTCTGGGATGAAGCCTACTTGGTCATGGTGGATGATTTTTCTGATGTGTCGAACATATATTTTAATGATTTTTTCATCTTATGTGCATTGGTGTTTTGCCCGCATGTATGTCTGTGTGAGGGTGTAACTGGAGTTACAGACACTACTATCTGGTTTCTGGGATTTGAACCAGGGTCCTCTGGAAGAGCAGCCTGTGCTCTTAACAACTGAGCCATCTCTCCAACCTTTGTAATAGTGTTCTGACATAACATTTTTTTTCTTTTCTTTTCTTTTCTTTTTTTTTGAGACAGGGTTTCTCTGTAGCTTTGGAGCTGTACTGGAATTTGCTCTGTAGACTAGGCTGGCCTCAAACTCACAGAGATCCGACTGCCTCTGCCTCTTGAGTACTGGGGTTAAAGGTGTGTGTAATTACCGTCACACCCTAACTTTTTTTTTTTAAGTGTTAAGAATTGAATCCAGTGTCTTGCTACACACATGTTATGAGATTTAGTTACACTTAACTTTTTTTTTTTTTTTTTTTTGGTTTTGAGGCAACCTTTCCCTGTTAGCCCAGGCTGCCAACTTTTAATCCTGCATCAACACTTGAGTTCTACTGTTGCAGATGAGGGCCCAGTTGTACTTGGTATTGAATCCTTGAGAACTTGCCCGTATAAAGTTTTTCTATTTCTCCAAAATAGGCTTGCAGCCCCCCAGATAATGGTGCAGTTTTGTGTGTGTGTGTGTGTTTATGTGTGTGTGCAATTGTATGCCTAATTGGTACCCATAATGTTGTGTGAGTCAGGGCAAAAGTCACACAAGCCTATGGACCTATCAGTGAGGACTTAGCTCTCTATCTTAGCTGGATTACTAGAGAGACAGCAATAGGAAGACCAGATCCTGGGTGTGGGGCAAGGCCATAGCAGGTCAGAGCTGTCAGTCCTGGTGACTGCCACCGCCTTTTGCCACAGCTTTTTCCTACATCCTTCCTTCTCTTCAGAGCTTGGGATCCCAGCTGATGACGGAGAGATTGAATGACAGGCCAACTGACCAATGGGCCCCAGAGGATGGGATGGGATGGAGCTTGGGCTGCTATGGAGAGGAGAGAAGCCTGTCTGAGAGGAAGGGCAGAGGGAGGCAGGCCTGGAGACAGAGCAAATAAAGGGGTGAGAGAAAAGAGTGCATTGGCTTCTTGAGGCTCTGCAGAGGCTGGAAGGGCCAGGGACAGATGGGAACCTAGGTTGTCTGGGGCAAGCATGTGTTGAGTGATGTTGTTTGAAGGGTTGCCATACAGCAGTGTCTCAGACTCCAACTCTCTCTTGGGTGCTGACAACTGAGCCTTCTAGGCTACTTGGTACATGGACCCAAGCCCTGAGCCTCTGAGTTTGATGAGGGGCCTGGGGTAGAGGTTAGGAGCCCAATATCACTCAGAGATTGGGTTGTGGGACTCTCTCCTGAGCCAAGGACAGAGAGCTCATGGTGGGAAAGGTGGGGTGAGATGCCCTCTCATGCCCCTGTCTCCTTCCTTCCTATCTATTCTGGCCTTCTCCCATAGACGACAATGGAGGGGGAGAGCAGACAGCTCAATGCTGACGAGGCTGCTGGTGGATGTGAGGATTGTGTCATCATCAGTGGGAACTGCAGTGACCAGTCCTCAGACGCCAAGAATGTTCCCTTCACCCAAGTCATGGAGGCAATCTGCACAGTGGATCGCGAAGGTAGGCGGGCAGTGGGGAGCTGGGGTGGGGTTACATTCCGACACAACAGATACAGCTGCACACCTCGGCTGTGACCAAGAGCTTCTCCCTGGCTCCTGAAGCTATGGGGATACTGAGCACCCTCACACGCCTCCTTAAAGGGGGACCAGTCTATTCCCACAGAACACAGGCAACACCCAAGCTCTGTCTTGTCTCTGCCCACAGCCTCCTGCCTCTTTCTTCTCCTTGGGACTCTGAGGAAAAGCACCCACGGTGGCGGCTCCCTTACTTTGTCATTCCTGGTAGGGCTGGTCTCAGCGCGGACTGGATCATGGGTCCTCTATTGTGCTGACACTGACATTATCATGGATGAGAGATGCTTCCTACTGCCCCTTCCTTTTAGCACCTCCCAGAACACCTGGAATCAGCCCCCACTCTTTGAAGTCTCCTGTCTTGTGTGTTTCTGTCCTTGAGACTTATGGTGCTGATCTGAGCTCTCTGAAAGGGCACAAGTGGCCAGTTTCCATGTTCACCCCTATAACCTCTTGACTACATAGAAATACTTAAAATGCAGCCACTGTCAGAAACCAGGTTTTTATTCTAATGGAATTATCATAATAGGATCAGGCAGCGACTTTCTGGAAGGAATTGGATGTTTCCTCTCCATATTAGGACCCCCAAATGGCACTGCTTAGCTTGTAGGGAGGAAGGCATGAGCCTCTGCCCTGCATCTCTATGAGTACATAGAGAAGACAGGGATGCTGCGTGGTCTCTGCTGATGACTGACTTGGGGGAGACACTGAGAGAAGGCCTGTCAGCAAGAAGCCTGGTGCCCCTTCCTCTGAATGTGTGCTCTGACTCTTTCCTCCACAGGCTGCAGAGCAAATTCACGACCGTCCAAGAGGAAGGTCTCCAGCACGATTGCTTACATCCAGGTATCAGTTCTTCCTCTCTCCTACGTTTCATCATATGGGTGTCCTGAGGCTAAAAACAAAACAAAACAAAACAAAAAAACCCCCTGAAATCTGAAGGTAAATTAAAATCTACGCTCGTTTATTTTGCCAAACTGGAAAGTTTTGAGTTATTAGGTTCTTTTTGTATGTTTCTGAGATTAGTTCTTAATTTATCAATATTGTTGATAAGTTCATTCATATGGCAAACTTCACTTATTCCGATATGGTCATACCATGTTTGGACTTTTTGTTTTTTCTTATTTTGTTTCATGTTGAGACAGGACTCTGTCTGGGTAGCCCTGCTGGTCCTGGAAACCTTTGTACAGACCAGGATTACAGTCATGTTGCCACGTAGGATTTTCCTTTCCTTGCTGGGAATCAAACCCACAGCCTCACACATGGTCTAACATTTGACTATGTCCTTAAAGTTTGGTTTTTAAATTTCTCCATTCTTATTTCAAAACAAGACACAACATAAACAAACAAAAAAAAACCAACCAAAGAAACCCCAAACATAAAATACTTGGGAATGACCCTAACCAAGAAAATTAAAGACTTCTATAAAGAAAACTTTAAAGCATAGAAAAAAGAAATTAAAGATGAAACTAGATGATAAAAAGACCTTCCTTTGTCTTGGATCAGCGGAATTAATATTGTGAAACGGCTGTACAAACACGAGTAATTTACAGATTTGATGCAATCCTCATTAAAGTTCGTAATGAGTCTTTCTTTGTCCCGTCAGTTCCCAAATAACAACACTTGAGACTTATTATTAATTATGAAAGCTTGGCCTTGGCTTAGGCTTGTCCTATTAACTCTTATAACTTAAATTAACCCATTTATTTTAACCCACATTCTGTCACGTGGCTCATTACCTCATCTTTCCAAGCTGCTCATGCTGCTTTTCCTGCGTCTGGCTGGCACTCACACCTTTCTTCTTTCCTGACCCTCTCTCTCCCCAGGAGTCCTTCCTAACCTCTTCCTGCCGAGCTAGTGGCCATTCAGCTCTTTATAAACCAATCACAGTAACACATCTTCACACAGTGTAAAGGAATATGCCGCAACACAGTTCCAATGACATTTTTCAGATAACTAGAAAAAAGCAATGAAAAACTCATATGGAAACACAAAAGACTACAGATAACCAAATTGATCCTGAACAGCAAGAACATTGTTGGAGGTATCACAATACCTCATCTCAGATTCTGTTACTGAGTTATGCAGGGACAGATTGAATAGACGACCTAGAGGTAAACTCACATAGGTTTGGTCACCTAATTTTTGATAAAGATGTCAAAAATATACCCTGCTAAAATGATAACCTCTTCAACAAATGGTGCTGGTAAAACTGGGTATATATCTTTTTTTAAAAATATTTATTTATTATGTATACAATATTCTGTCTGTGTGTATGTCTGCAGGCCAGAAGAGGGCACCAGACCTCATTCCAGATGGTTGTGAGCCACCATGTGGTTGCCGGGAATTGAACTTAGGACCTTTGGAAGAACAGGCAGTGCTCTTAACCACTGAGCCATCTCTCCAGCCCCTGGGTATATATCTTATACCCAACTAAATAAGAATGACCTCCATAAGTTCATATGTTTGAATACTTGGTCCCCAGTTGGTGGAACTGCTTGGGAAAGATTAGAAAGTGTGACCTTGCTGGAAGAAGTGTGTCACTGTGAGTGGGTTTTGAGTTTTCAAAAGCTCTTGCTGCTGGGCAGTGGTGGCGCATGCCTTTAATCCCAGCACTCAGGAGTCAGAGGCGGGTGGATCTCTGTGAGTTCTAGGCCAGTCTTGTCTACAGAGTGAGTTCCAGGACAGGCTCCAAACCCTGTCACGAAAAACCAAAACCATAACCAAAACAAACAAACAAACAAAACAACAAAACAACAAAACAACAACAAAACCCAAAGCTCTTGCCATTCCCAGTGAGCTCTCTCTAGCTCCTACTTGTGAATCAGGATGTGAGTTTTCAGCTGTTCCTGCCATCAGGCCTTTGTTCTGTCATTAAGGACTTTTAACCCTCGGAAACTATGATCTCACTTAAATGCTTCCTTTTATGAGTGGCCTTGGTCACAGTGTTTTCTCCTAGCATTAAAAAGCCTAATTAAGATACACCTGTAGAGGAGTAAAATGGGATTCATATTTCTTACCCTGTAAAAAGCCAATTTAAAGTGAATCAAAGATCTTAATTTAAAACCTGGAATGCATCCCCACATGAAGGGATCTGACAGGGACTTTCTGAACAGGATTCAGAAATAGCCCAAGCATAAAGAAACACAGCCACGTGAAGTCAAAAATTTCTGCACACCATGGCTGAGGAGATGGCTCAGTGGTTAAGAGCACTGGCTGCTCTTCCAGAGTCCCTGAGTTCATTTCCCAGCACCCACATGGTAGTTCACAACTGTCTGTAACTCTGGATTTGGAGTATACGACACCCTCACATAGACACATATGCAGGCAAAACACTAATGCACATGCAGTAGAAATAAATAAGTTCTTTTCAAAACACCTTTCTGCACAGCAAAGGACACAGACAGCCTATAGAATGCAAGAAAACTGTTGCCACTGAATCTTAGGCAGGAGTTTGGTAATCCAAGTACATAAAGAACTGCAAAATTAACCTCCCAAGCTTATTAGAACTAGTTTTTATTTAAAAACTCAGCATAGTTACTGGTAATCCCCCCCCCCCCATTTTCCTTGCATGTTTTGCTTGTTTGTTTCTTTTTTTGAGACAGGATTTCTCTGTATAGTCTTGGCTGTCCTGAAACTCACTCTGTAGACCAGGCTGCTCTTGAACTCTGAGATCTACCTGCCTCTGCCTCCCTAGTGCTGTGACTAAAGGCGTGCGAATAGAAAATCAAGGCAGGTGGTACACCTGTTACCCCAGCACACTGAGGGCAGCCCATACTTCATTGTGAGACTGTCTCAGAAATAGAAGGGACGCCTAACAAGGTGGCCTGGCGGGTTAGGGGGTTGGGATAGCTCTTGTGTTTCTGTGGTTAGTTAAGAGTACTTCACTCTGAGCCTGGCATTGAGCTAAACATGCCTATGCTGGTCTGGTGGAAGGACTGTTCACCTAATCTAGAAGGAGTCAACCAGCAAGGCTGCATGGTTGCTAAATGAAAAGTTAGGTTCTTAAGGCTTTAACTAGGGCTTCTGGTCTTTCCACTTCACTCTTGGTCTATGTTCTGTGAGTGCTGGCTTTAGTGTGTGAGGCTCAGGACAGTTCATGACATTGCTTCTTGGTCATCTCATTAACAGGTGTCCGCCTTGGTCATTTGGTCTGTGTCCTCCTCACACATGTTGTGAAAGGCAAACATCACCAGGCCCCCTGCTAGGCATCATTGTGTATTTGTCCAATTTCTGTCACTTGCTAACCCCCCGGGTTTTGCCCTTCAGTCTTTCATTTGTGATCCTGGGGTAGCTGTCGTAAAATCTTTTTAGCATTTATGCACTGAAGAAATTTATTGCCAATGCTTCACATGGGTTATAGTTTCGTTGCTGTAAGCACAGAATTGTAATTTCTGTACAGGGATGTGTAAATGGACATTAATCAACACATTTGCAAGTTCACTTTGTAAAAAGAACGAGTGTTGCCTTCCTGGGAGGGGAGATGCCGTGACGGTGGAGACGTTTTCCCCAGGATGATGCTTATTTATTGTATGCTGGGTGCGCTGAGCCCTGTGATTTCCTAAAGTCAGGGAAACTCAACTATATAATTGTAATAATGTGTTTGGGTTCACCCTTAAAAAAATGAAGAGGGTATAATATATAGATATTATATAGATATATATAATATATAGAAAATATATAGAAAAAAGATTGTAAAATTTTCTGTCCTTGCAATGCCCCTCCCCATTTTCCAGACAGAATCTCACTCTGTAGCTCTGGCTGTCCTGAAACTCACGCTGTAGACCAGGCTGGCCTCACTCTTGCAGTGATCCACCTACCTCTGTCTCCCAAATTCTGGGATTAAAGACGTGCTCCAATATGCCTGGCTGCAGTGCACTTTTTAATCTTTATTTATTTTTTGAAACAGGTTTTTTTCTGTTATTTTATTTTTAAATTACTAATAATTTTATGTCAATGAGTGTTTTGTCTGCATGTTTATCTATGCGTCACATACATGCAGTACCCTCAGAGGCCAGAAGAGGGCATCAGATTCCTCTGGAACTGAGGTTACAGATCTTTATGAGCCTGTAACTCTTGTGGGGGCTGGGAATTGAGTCTTCTGGAAGGGAAGACCCTGTTGTTAACTGCTCAGTCGTCTCTGCATCCCACACTGCACTTTTCAGTGTAAGTATTTAACACACAGTCGTGTTAAAGTCAGCAAGATATTGTAGAATGTGATGCCACAATCCACTAAATTCAAAGAGGGTAAGGACTTGTAGCTTGTAATAACAGGAATGATGACACTAACAACAATAATAACAGTGTTTTGTTTACATGATTTTAAATTATTTTACTATGAGTAGTGCATAACCATAACAAATATCTTAACAGGAACAGATTTTTTGTTTGTTGGTTTTTGTTTTCTTTTTTAACAGGGTCTCATTGCATAGCCCTATCTTGGGTATAGTTCTGTGTAGACCAGGGTAGCCTTGAACGGATAGAGAACTTCCAGTCTCTGCTTCCTGAACACTGGGATTAAATGTGTGCGCGAGGAGAGACAGGAATATTCTCCTTGGCAGGCTGTGTCTTTGCCTCCCAGCCCTTTAGCCGTTGTTGCAGTCACCCTGGGTGGCAACACTGTTAAACTCTTTCAGTTGTTTCTCAGATCTTAACACTTTTGAATTGTTCTAGAGATCCATCAGTATCGCTCTCTGCTTACATCGGTCTTTCATGTGCCTTTGTTTTTTTAGCTTCTTGTATTTTATCTGTTTATTAGAAACCATTGTTTCTACCTTAATTTCATGTGTTTATTAAACAAAATAATTTGAGTGTCTTCCCATTTCTGCCAGCACTTCATTCAACAGCAACACTAAGATGCATGTAGTCACCAAATGGTTCTGAAAACATAAACACAAACAATGGCTTGTTTTGGCCAAGACTGGTATGTTTGTCCAGCCCTGCAGGCTGGGGTAGAGTGCCATCAGAGGCAGTCTGGTGCTCCAGCCCTGCAGGCTGGGACGGGGCTCCATCAGAGGCAGTCTGGTGCTCCAGCCCTGCAGGCTGGGACGGGGCTCCATCAGAGGCAGTCTGGTGCTCCAGCCCTGCAGGCTGGGACGGGGCTCCATCAGCGCAGTCTGGTGCTCCAGAGCACGGGCCAGGCAGCACTCACAAAGGCAGCTATGTTGGCTCCAAATTCTTTTCAACAATCATTGAGGCTTCCACTCTGAAGTTTCTGTTCAAATCTCAAAGTGCTGCCACTTAAGACCCCAGAAACCCAGGCTATGTGTCTGGTTCCCCAGCCTTGCCTGTCGCTTTATTGACAGCCTGTTGACTGTACTCAACATTCCTGCTCCACTCAGGGCCCCTGTGTTCACTGCTATTGGCCTCAGTGAACTTCCCAAGAAATCTGAATTCCAGAGGGGCTGTTTCACTGTTGTCTGAAGACATCTTTCCAGAGCTGGTCTCCATTTCCCACAAATTCAGGGAGTGGTAAACCTTTTGAACTTATTTTTTAATTTCTTTAAAGATTTCTTTCTTTCTTTCTTTCTTTCTTTCTTTCTTTCTTGTCAGGGTTTCTCTGTGTAATTGCTTTGGGCTGTCCTGGAACTTGTTTTTGTAGACCAGGTAAACCTCGAACTCGCAGAGACCTGCCTTTTAAGTGCTACGATTAAAGGTGTACGCCACCACCACCTGGCTTATTTATTTATTTTAAAATATTTATTTATGTATACAATATTCTGTTTGTGTGCATGTCTGCAGGCCAGAAGGGGGCACCAGACCTCTTTATAGATGGTTGTGAACCACCATGTGGTTGCTGGGAATTAAACTCAGGACCTTTGGAAGAGCAGGCAATGCTCTTAACCACTGAGCCATCTCTCCAGCCCCCATTATTTATTTATTTATTTTTAATGTGGTAAATATTTTGCCACCTGTATGACTGTACATAGTGCCTGATACCCTCAGAGGCCAGAAAAGTTTCAGATGCCCTGAAACTGGAGCTCCAGACAGATGTTGGCTGTCTTGTGGGTGTTAAGCTTCAAATCCCAGTCCTCTGGAAGAGCAGTCAGAGAGTAGCCAGTGCTCTTAACCATTGAGCCATCTCTCCAGCCCTGAAAACTCACTGACTGGACATGGGTAGAGACGTTTCTGTTACTCTGTTTGCCACAGAAGCATTCAGGCTGTCACCAATATTCTGTCGATCTGATGCGCCAATTTCTATAGAAAAAGCAAACTCCATTTGCTTTTTCTCCAGTTTCTTCCTGGGAGCCATCGAAGGTCACAGGGGCAGACATACTCTTGGTTTCAATTCCTGGACCAATGACTACAGCAGGAGGGACAGATGTGATTGGAGGAAAGGGATGGGTTCTCTTTCTGGGCCTCCAGAGAAACTCCGTGGCTTTCTCTAAAGGACTCCCTGTCATCCGCTGGTAGGGTTTCGGCAGTTTGTGCTGGTGTCTCTGTGGGGAAACTGGCTAGTTCTGAGATGATGAACATGACTCTAGGGTGGAGAAGTTCTGGTGAATGGGCCCTCTCTGTCTTTTATCTCCTCAGTCAGTGGGCTGTGCTTCCCATGATGGAAGAGGGTAAGTCTTTTTAGAGCGAAACGAGGTGGAAGTGTTGTAGGGACCTGAGCGGGACATCATTATGCGTTTCAATGCCATTTGCCTTCCTTAGTTGTATTGCTTGTGCGACTTGGTTACATGGGAAAGCTGTTTCCTTTTCACAGGACCTGACTGAAGATGGAGATGAAGGTAGAAGTGGCGAGGCAGAGGACAGCAGTGACTCTGGCTCTCCGGTGACGCCCACACTCTCCTGGGAGAACAGCGCACCCTCTAATACCTCAGCAGTAAGCTCCCTCTCCTTGAGCCCAGGGGCTTCCTACCACTCATAGACCTGCATAGAAAACGAAGCTTAGGTGGGTTCAGCAAGTCTTTCCTCATGCCTGTGTTTAAGTTTATATTAATCAGCTGGATGGTGGCGCATGCCTTTAATCCCAGCACTCGGGAGGCAGAGGCAGACAGATTCCTGTGAATCTGAGATCAGCCTGGTTTACAGACTGAGTTCCAGGACAGCCTGGGTTATACAGAGAAACCCTGTCTTGAAGACCAAAAAGAAGAAAAAAAAACTGTATTAAATTTTTTAAGTTTATTTATTTATTATGTATACAATATTCTGTCTGTGTGTCTGCCTGCAAGCCAGAAGAGGGAACCAAACCTCATTATAGATGGTCGTGAGCTACCATGTGGTTGCTGGGAATTGAACTCAGGACCTTCGGAAGAGCAGGCAATGCTCTTAACCTCTGAGCCATCTCTCCAGCCCCCTATATTAAATTTTTTAAAAAGTTGTTTAATTTGTATTCACACGTCTCTCTACGTAAGCCACACACATACTTGTGCTCAGAGGCCAGAAGAGGGCATGGGGTCCTCTGGAGATGGGGTTATAGGCAGTGTAAGCCACATGAGGAGGGTGCTGGAACTGAACTCAAGTCTTCTGGAAGAGCAGTAAGGACTTCTGAGCCATTGCTCTAGCCCTGACATCTTTTTGTTAACTAGCTCCAGCTCTATTTCATTAAAAACAACACATAGGACAAGGTCTGGCTCTCTCCTGAGCGTTAGGTAAGCTCCTAAGCCTGTGGCTTCACTCTTGGCCTGTTTTTGTTGGAACTACGTTGAGGAGACAAGAATTCCCACGGCCCAGATCTGGCTCCCCTTGGAGCTCAGCTGAAAGTCACTGGTGTCCATCACCCTTGTCCCCGTGTCTTTTCCTGCTGTCTTGAGGCAACCCCAGCAGGTCTGGAACATTCTACTTCTGTTTCCAGATGCACAGGAGCCAGTTGCCCAGAGCCCCCACCGTCTCTGAGCTCAGCTTCAGAGCCTTTGGTCCTTCCCTGCCACTGCATTATCATCCTTATTGTGTGTTTGCTCTGCCTTGGGCTCAGTGACTGCCAGCCTTGCTCTTATAAAACAGAAGGGCCCTGGTTTCCTTCTTCACTCTTGCTTGCATGGGATCTAACGGAGGGAAGCTGTTCATTTGCACCCCCTACCTGCTTAGTTTGCCGGGACTCAACCTTTTCTTTTGGTCTACAGTCCCTGAGTTGGCAAGCAACCACTTCAGCAAGCACACCACGGCTGTCCCCTGCCAGCCCTTACCCCACCATTGACCTCACAGATGAAGAAGCGACATCCTGGAGCATCAGTTCCCCACTGGTTGAGCTGAGCCAGGACAGTCACCAGGAGGGCATGGACACTCCCCAGGTGGGTGTGGAAAGCAGAGAGGGAGCCAACATTCAGTATCAGGTACCACTGAGAAGGCAGTCTGACTTAGTGTTTCTGTTGCTGTGAAGAGACACCATGACCATGGCAACTCTTATAAAGGAAGCCATTTCATTGGAGCGGCTTACAGTTTTAGAGGTTTTGGTTCGTTGTCATCATGGTGGGACATGGCAGCATGCAGACATGGTGCTGAAAAAGGAGCTGAGAGCTCTACATCTTGAACCACAGGTAACAGGAAGTGAACCATGACATTAGGTGTAGCTTGAGCATAGGAGACTTCAAAGCCTACCCTCACAGAGTGATACATTTCCTCCAACAAAGTCACACCTCCTAATAGTGCCACTCTTTATGAGCTTATGGGGGCCAATTACATTCAAACTGCCACATTCCACTTTCTGGCCTCCATAGGCTTGTAACAGTATCATAGTGCAAAATGCGTTTAGCTCAACTTCAAAAGCGCCCATAGTTTATAACAGTTTCAAACTTATTTTAAAGTCTAAAGTTCAGAGTCTCTTCTGAGCTTGACGAGCTCACTGTAATCCCCTGTCAAGACCAAAATGCAGATCACATGTTTCCACATACAATACACAGGATATGCCCCACCATTCCAAACATACAATACACAGAATATGCCTCACCATTCCAAACATACAATACACAGGATATGCCTCACCATTCCAAACATAGGGAAGGGAGCCTCGTGAGGAAATACTGGACCAAAGCAGACTGAAACGAGCTGGGCAAACTCCATTCAGGGACACCCCTGACACATGTCTGGCCTCAGAGGCTTTCCTTAGTCACAGAGGAAGATTCCGCAACCCCTGTCTTCTCTCCTTTTTTTTTTTTTTAAAAGATTTTATTTATTTATTATGTATACAACATTCTGCCTGCATGAAGAGGGCGCCAGATCTCATTACAGATGGTTGTGAGCCACCATGTGGTTGCTGGGAATTGAACTCAGGACCTCCGGAAAAGCAGCCAGTGCTCTTAACCACTGAGCCATTTCTCCAGCCCCTGTCTTCTCTCCTTAACTCTGAAACCAGAACCCCGTGACTGAAGCTGCCAAGTTCTGCTGCTTGCTGTGGCTGGAACATGGATCAAGTCCATCCACTCACCAGTCTTCTGTTTTCGATGATTTCCTTCCCTGCCTAAGCCTGGCTGTCCTGAAGGGCTAGGTTTAAAGCGTGCACCGCCGCACCCAGCTCTAAGCTGGAGAGACGAATCAACTGTCAGTTTAGAGCACTAGATGCTCTTCCAGAAGTTTCGTGCTCAGAACTCACTTCGGGTGGCTCACAAACCTCCCGCAACTCCCTTCTGAATTTTGAATGCAGAAGCACATAGGTGGCATACGCTCACATGGAGAAATACACATAAACAAGTCCTTTAAAAAAAGAACATTGCTGGGCTCAGCCTCAATTAAGGTTCTGGTTTTCTCATGAGTTACTTTCCCTTGGGGCCGTGTCCATGTGTAAAATTTCTTTAGAGAAAAAAAAAAGTTATCCAATTTCCAAGACACTTCATGCAGTTGTGTTGAGTGACCAGCAGAAGGCAGAGAAGGATAAGTGTCCAGAATCTATGCTGGCTACTGAAGCATTACACTCAGGGATATGTGCAGTTACTTGTGTGATGTAGAAGAGGACGCTAGCTATATCCAGCAAGACATAATGTACTCCTTTCTAGACAGGGTCAGATGGCAATAAGGTTCAATATGGTGAGAAAGGATTCTGGAATGGATTACTGTGTGCTGTGGCCCTGGCCAGAGACTACCTAGTTTCCACTGTGTTCTGCTCATGTTGGCAAGAGCCGCTGGCACTTCATGGTCACCCATGGTGGTCACACCACAGCGTTGAGGCTCCGAGCATAAGATGGGGCTGAATGTGAAAGCAAGCATTGCATCCTGGGACATCCTGTGTATCCTACAAGTGTGATAAGAAGCCCGAAACACCTGCTTCATCTCCCCTCTCACTAGGAGTGCCGCCCCACAGTTCATTTCTGCATTGTCTGGGGACTTGGCACATGCAGCTTGCCCTTCATGACCAAGATGCACAATCATCGTGAGCAGAAAGAGCTCACTGTGTGTCCAGCGTGTTCTCTGAACCCATGTATGGTGGGAACTCATTGAGAATCTGAAGACTCAATAGCTGTCCTCACACTCAGGAAGGGCAAAGCGCATGCACAAAACACAGTTAAGCCAATTTAAGGACTGAGTCTCACGTCTGGACCAGGGACACTGACTGTACATACATGTATGTACTCATGTGCCATGTGAACACAAACGGCTTGTGCTTTATTGTACCCATTCTGAGCTTTATTCTTCCTCACATTTGGAGTATCCCGGGTTCCTGTTTCAGGTTCCTTGATATGGGCTAGATACTGTTCCCCATTTTGTTACTGGTATCTGTGAAGCACCCCAGGAATAAATAGGCTCTGGAGGAATGTGGATACCCAGTGTACCCTTGTTCACCCAGATCCGGGTAGATATTGGTCATCTCTTTCTCTCCTAGGTCTCTGCTGACAAACGGTGGCCCTTGGCTGTTCAGATAGCATTTTAACCTGGCTACCTTCAATAAGCTGATTTCTGTTTTATTTTTTAATTTTTCATTTTTTTTTTCAAGATAAGATTTCTCTGTATAGCCCTGGCTGTCCTGGAACTCACTCTGTAAACCAGGCTGGCTTTAAACTCACAGAGATCTGCCTGCCTCTGCCTCTTAAGTGCTGAGTTTAAAGGCGTGCACCACCACTGCCTGGCTATGAGCTGGTTTCTCACAGGAAGGCCGTATACCATACTCTGCAGGTAACACAGGTGTAGGAGTGAGGCCTTGACTTCAGGAGCTGGGAGGAAGGGAGAACCAGTAAACGTGAGCTTACACCATTGTGTGGCCAAGGTTGGCTTGGAGGAGACAGAGGTACCATGGAGGTGGTGAATGCCGAATGCCAAAGGCAGAGGGCATGTTTGGGAAAGGAATTTGAGATGTGCCAAGGTTACTAGAGAATTGCTGGTACTGCCAGATGGACTGGGAAAGATGTCTACCGCCTCGTGAATGTATCATCTGGAGAATGATCTGGGTAGCTGTGTTTTCGGTTTCAAAGGGCTGAGTTTACTGAGAAGCAGGCAAGGAGCAAATAGGAGGCAGCAGACAGACCAGCATATCAGGTGCTCCTAGTATCCAGCCAGTGGGAGGAGCATATCAGGTGCTCACAGCATCCAGCCAGTGGGAGGAGCATATCAGGTGCTCATAGCATCCAGCCAATGGGAGGAGCCCAGCTGGGAGAGCAAGCAGAAGAAATGTCATCAAATCGCCAAAGAAATGATGCAGGAAGGCCTTCTCACAGCATCTTGGTCGAGAGAAAATGTCACCTTTATGGACGAGCTTCTGCCCCTTCATCCCAACTGCGGCCATCTTTATCCCCATATAACCTCTGTTAAAAATGGTTTTACCCTTTAGCTGTTTTCAAGGGTGTGATGTTTTTAATGCCTTCGGCCGTTTGCTGTTCTCTTTTGTCTCTGTCATAGTGTCATGGGCCCAGCTTGCCCAGGACAGGGAGTTTTGGAAGACACTTGAAATAAATTACGCTTGCGTTGGAGACAAGGGAGGGCCTTTCACTTCCAGAGTTAGCTTTCCGTGACTTTAACCAGCACGTGACAATTGACCAGCGTAGCGCGTGTCACAGGGCAGTAGTGATACTGCAGAGTAGGCTGTCCCAGAGACAGGTGAGCTTTCTTTCTTCAAGCCTAGAGGAGGTAGCTGAGGCCTGTACCCTCCTCCCCTAATCGGCAGACACTTTAGCTCCTCTGAGTCACCAGGCTTCTCGCTACTACAGCCCCTACTAGCCTGCCCCACTTGGCCAAGTGCCTCATTAGGCATGCAAATTGGCATTGCCCTTAAATGAAGAACGCGTGACTACATCCACATCTTCTTAGGCAAGAAGTCCGCTGTCTGAGCCAAGCTACAGGAGAACAAGGGACAATGGCCTAAAGCTCCTGATTTTAAGTAACAAAGCTGAGGCGAAACTCTTCCTTTGGGAGAGAGCTGACCGCTCTCTGCTTCTACAGGGAAGAGGTCATATGTGGTGCCCGCCCCCATGGTCTATTGTTTCCTTACTTGTATCTCAGAAGCAGGCCCCTGTCACATAACAAAGCCAAGGACAGCTGTCCAGCTCTGAAAGACACCAGTGTTCAGGGAATGCAGGCCCCAGCAGGAGGAATCCCTGGGTTCACCCTGGCACATACCTCATTGGCTCGCTCCCATTCATGGACAGACGTTGCCTTTATTTGTGTCTTGGCAGAGAGCCAGGGTGCGAGCTGGCAAGACCTTCCCCAGCAGTCCGGGAGACTCACTGGAGGACCAGCTGAAGCCCATGCTGGAATGGGCCCATGGGGGCTTCAAGCCCACTGACATCGAGGGCCTCAAACCCAACAACAAGCAACCAGGTGGGAGTGAATGGCACAGACGTAGGAATTTAGAACCCAGGAGACATGGTATTCCCTTACCATCTTTGAGTGTTCTGTTTTCAGTGCTCTGTCCTGCAATTTCTCGGCATCCACAATGCTCAGTGGAGAAGAATCCAATCTTCTAAGCTGAGTCTCTCAACCTCACCCATGACCCTCAGGTCAACCTGGGTGCACATCCCGCCTCCTAAAACCTTAGGACTCCTCCCTTCTCTTTTATTTATTAATATTAATGGCACATACGTAAGCATGTCACCAAAGGCTCCTGTGTTTCTGTTTCCTGAGACAACGGTCTCACTCTGCGGTCCTTTCTGGTCTCATGGAGCCTTGTAGCTGGGTGTCATCTCATCTGGCTCCTCATGACTTTAGATGGGTATCTGAGTTTCTTACCTCGTGTGTAGGAATGGGGAAGAGTCAGATTCAACCATGTCCACTGTGATTCAATAGATCCAAAAAAGTATAAATAAATGTTATTGAATGGGGGCCACAGAATGTGACTTCGTTATTTTCTGGTAGTTTCATTATATCATTATAAAGCATCATGGGAAATTAATGCTACTCATACATTTTGACCTAATATTTTAAAAATTTAGCATTTAAACATTTAGTCTATATAAAACATTGAACTCTTTCGCTTTTTTCTAGTACTATCCTAAGAAAATTATGCCTTTTTTAGGTAAAAGTTACACTGAAATTGATTAATGAATACATGCTAATTTCATAAATTGGCCAAATAGATTCCAGGGTTCAAGTCAGTCCAAACCAAGCATATCAGTAGCATCATTTGACAGTTTGGACTTGACCCTCAGTGTGAAATCCTGTCCCTTCTGATATATCAAGTACTCAGTAGCAAGCCAGGAGGTGGTGGTGCACACCTTTAATCCCAGCACTCGGGAGTCAAAGGCAGGCAGATCTGAGTTTGAAGCCAGCCTGGTCTATAGCATGAGTTCCAGGACAGCCAGGACTACATAGGGAAATCCTGTCTTGAAAAACAAAACAAAACAACAAAATACCCAATAGCTCCATGCCCCCGTTGGGCATTGTGGTGGGCATCACTGTAGAACCTCAGCCCCAGCTGTGGTCAGCCTGTGCTCAGGGCTGGCTCTAGAAGAATGGATTCTCCTCCACACTCCGATGTGGAAGCACCAGGAGCATGAGTCTGGCCTGCTTCCCATGTGGGGGGAACTTGGAACTGGCTTCTGCTCTGGGTTCCCCTCTGGGGCTCTCTACACCATCCCAGTCCCCTGCTCTAGATGCAGCTGGATCTCAGGCACAGCATGGTCTCGTCAAGTCTGTCTGCTTACCTTCCAGAGAACAAAAGTAGAAGACGCACAACCACCGACTCTGCCTCTGCTGAGTACTGTCCTCCACCCAAGCGCCTCAAGACCAATAGCTACGGCGGGAAAGACCGAGGGGAGGATGATGAGAGCCGAGGTGAATTTGGGGGGGAAGGTGCAGCAGCAGGAGCAGCAGGTCCTCAGGACCACTGCTCTGGGGTTCAGAGATGCATGGCTGTGTGGGAAAGGAGACTTCCTTACCTTCCTGTCCCTCTTTCCTCCACAGAACGGATGGCTTCTGATGTCGCCAACAACAAAGGCAATCTGGAAGGTACTATGTCTCTTTGCCCTCCTTTCTGGGTGCCCCAGGCCTGCCTTAGCCTGGCTTTGACCTTCTGCATGGATTTTAATCTGGAGCACTGGGCATTGACCTAGATCAGGACCACTCCTGCTACTATACTCCTGAGTATTAGTTTCTAAATTTATTAGGCCAAATAATAGGATTTCCTTCTATTTTAACTGAATCTGATGTGACCGCTGACCAGGGTGACTGCAGTGGGGAAGAATGAAAGCTGTGGCACTTTGGCCAATGCCTGAAAACTCCAGATGACTGGAACCTTGAACTTCCCATGCAATAAGCACAGCTAAGTTTAAGGTTAAAATAAGACACATTTTGCCACTGGCTCCTCTTCGAGCTAACTCTGATATCCTTTCCCCAGCTGGTTACTGCACTGGGATTCAGAAACCTTCCAAGAACAGACCTAATGGAGTTTGAATATACAATGTACTCTTCATTTACATTCTTGGCCCAATGTGCCTTAATCTTCAAATATTTATCAAGCACTTACTCATTATTGGATCCAGGTTAGAAAACAGACCTGGATCCAGGGTACCCTGGAAAAGCTGCAGTTTAGAGCAATGCCTACAATTTAGAAACTGTGTGCGTGTGTGTATGTGTATGTGTGTGTGGTTTTTCGAAACATGGTTTCTCTTTTCTCTGTGTATCTTTGGAGCCTGTCCTGGAACTTACTCTGAAGATGAGGCTGGCCTCTAACTCACACTCACAGATATCAACCTGCTTCTGCCTCCTGAGTGCTGGGATTAAAGATGTGCTGTGCACTACCACCACTGCCCAGGTCTAATTTAGAAACTCTTTTTTTTTTTTTTTTGGTCTGAGTACTCTGCCTGCATGTCTGCCTGCAGACCAGAAGAGGGCATCAGATCTCATTATAGAAGGTTGTGAGCTACCATGTGGTTGCTGGGAATTGAACTCAGGACCTCTGGAAGAGCAGCCAAGCTTTTAACTGCTGAGCCATCTCTCCAGCCCTAATTTAAGAACTTTGGACCCGTGGTCCTCAATGAATCCCAAGAGCCATCCACCATTTGTCCTTGTCCCCCACCCCCACCCCGTGAGACAGTGTTGGCCTTTTAAAGGTTTTGTCCTCTTGAACAGTGAATCAGTTTAGAGTCAAGACAGAGTGGCCTCACAGTAAAAACAAACAAACAAACAAACAAACAACAAATCCAAGGTCTGGGATGGTAATCTGTGCTGTGTTTAAAGAGCTCAGTTGCAGGGAGGTTCTGTAACTGCCGCCAAGCCAATCAGAACTTGTGCCTCAGTATCTGAGATTTAATGTTTATGAAAGATGGAGATGCCAAATCCAAAACAATATTCAGCCTCTTGTTTTGCCTGGCCAGGCCTTGGCTTCCCTTGTGCTTCTTGTTCATTTGAACTTGTCTTTCCCAGACTACGAAGTGGGGATAGCGCTTTAAACAAGGTCGAGTCTGTGGCCAACCCCCCCGAAATACGGTATCTCATCTGCAATGCTGCTAAAGGGTTAGATGAGCACTAGACACCGCCCAGAGTACTCGGCACATGACTGGCCAGGGGCGGATGCTCAGAACTGTTAGGCTCAAGGCTTGAGCTGCTGATGTTAGGCCCTTGGTATCCATAAACTCTGACACCCTGTCTTTCCCGCAGACCGCTGTTTGTCCTGCGGTAGGAAGAACCCTGTGTCCTTCCACCCCCTCTTTGAGGGTGGGCTCTGTCAGAGTTGCCGGGTAAGTCTGCCTGCCCCTTCCTCCTGCCCCTTCCTTCCTCACCCAGGCTCCCAGCACAGTCCCTGTTCCAGGCCCTAGTAAGGTTTCCCAGGGCACATCCCCCACTTCCTGTTTGGGGGACAGGTACTGCAGCAGAGAAGGCCCTCCATGAGGAACTCAAATCCCATGTACTGTCGCTTGCTAGCCAGGCCTGGCTGAGGTCAGGTCTGTGGTCTCACGTGCTTCTCTCTGGCGGTCAGGACCGCTTCCTGGAGCTCTTCTACATGTATGATGAAGACGGCTATCAGTCCTACTGCACCGTGTGCTGCGAGGGCCGCGAGCTGCTTCTGTGCAGCAACACAAGCTGCTGCAGGTGAGTGTCGTTCCGTGCGGCTGCACGAGGGCCTCGGATCCCTGGTGTACCCCACAGTTCCTGCAGGCAGCTAGAAACAAACAATATCTGTGGGATCTTCTCACAAGTATGGACTGCAGTGATACTTACTGCTGGGCTCAGGACAGATGTCCCTGGGAGGTCCGCCCTGGGAGGTTTCTGTTGAAAGGGTCTAGATTTGAAGGGAGTTTGAGCGATCCATATTCAGGAAATGATTTGTTACCGCATAGCTCAAAACACAAGGTGGCAGGAGACTGAGCATCAGGCGGAGTGGTCATGCCCTGGGAAACTGACTGGGCCTGCAGGACAAATGTCTGTTAACCGCGATGCCCATTCTCTCTTCATACTCTGGTACAGGTGCTTCTGTGTGGAGTGTCTGGAGGTGCTGGTGGGTACAGGGACAGCTGAGGATGCCAAGCTGCAGGAACCCTGGAGCTGCTATATGTGTCTCCCACAGCGCTGCCATGGGGTCCTCAGGCGCAGGAAGGATTGGAACACGCGCCTGCAAGACTTCTTCACTACTGACCCTGACCTCAAGGAATTTGTAAGCTCTGTGCAGTCTCATACAATTACAGTCCCTGGGAGGCTGAATCCTGTACATCTGTAAGAGCAAGAGTCCAGCCTTTGATCTCTGAATGTAGGAGACAGAGGCAGGCACATCTCTGAGTTCAAGGACAGCCTGGTCTACTTAGTGAGTTCCTGGACAGTCAAGGCTATATAGTGAGATCCTGTGTCAAAACAGCCTATAAAGGTGATAGTGGCAGGCATGGAGACAAAGGTCCCAGCACAGAAAGCTGAGCCATGAGCTTTGTGATGAGTTTATTTTATTTTTTATTTTTTAATATTTATTTATTTATTTATTATGTGTACAATATCCTGTCTGTGTGTATGTCTGCAAGCCAGAAGAGGGCACCAGACCTCTTTACAGATGGTTGTGAGCCACCATGTGGTTGCTGGGAATTGAACTCAGGACCTTTGGAAGAGCAGGCAATGCTCTTAACCGCTGAGCCATCTCTCCAGCCCCTTTGTGATGAGTTTAAGGGCAACCTGTGTTAAATGGTGAGGTCAAGGCCAGCCGGGAATGTACAGTTAGATTCCACCTCCCCTGTACCATTTGTACCTCACAGAGCCCGTGCCTGCCAGAGGCTAAGAGCCCATGCCTGCCAGAGGCTGAGAACCCTTGCTAGTCCACACCTCTAGCAGACACTTCCCCCTTCCAGTACCTTCTGACCAGGGAACAAGAAGGATATGTCTGAGCTGTGGGAGACAAGGGCAGCTGCTCCCACACCATAGGAGTTTATCTGCTGTTCTTAGAGGCCTTGGCAGTTGCCGCTCAAGCTCCCTATCTGGGCCTGTGCGTCTGTAGGAGGCAGCTGTGCCTCCTATCTGAGGACAGAATGGCCAGCCTGTGCCAGATACATTCTTACTAGTTCCCATCAAAGCCCCTGGGCATAGGAGGAAGATGGACACTCTGAGGGATTACTCTCTTTTTGCTTATCTGGCAGGAGCTGCCCAAGGTGTTCCCAGCAATTCCTGCAGCCAGGAGGAGACCCATTAGAGTCCTGTCCCTGTTTGATGGAATTGCGACAGGTGAGTTGAGGCAGGAGGCTGAAGGTGTCTCTGCCCTGTGACAGTCAAGAACAGTAGTAACCCGGATGTCACGTGTGCCTGTTCTTGCTCCACTCCATGGCCTTTGCACCTTCTCACACTATTCTATGTGCGTGTGTGACAGGCAGCATGCATTTGTCTCGTAGACACATGGGGAGATCAGGACAACTTCTCTCCTGTGTGGGTTACCCAGGTATCAGCCTTGGTGACAAGTTCCTCTACCTGCCACATTCCCTCCTTGGCCCTTTTCTAAAGGAACGTGTTTCTTGTTTGACTTGTTTTCCCTCTGCTCAAGCATCTGGAAGTTTCCTGGCTACACACACAAATGTCTTGGCTCCTTTCTAGTTTTCAGTTTGTGTGCGCACAGGAATCAGTCAACACGCAAGAGGCAAGAGCCCTCTCAGGTCTGCTGTGGCTCCTGCAGGGTTCTTGGTGCCTTTTAAAAGGTACATGCTTCTTAGCTATTGCATTTTGACTTATACTCCTCATTCCTGATTCCTTTCCATTTTGTGAGATGCCCCGTACGTGGAATGAACATAGCCTATATGAGCAATGTGGTGATGTCCTCTGGAGTCGACCACAGATATCTTGAAGTGACAGTAATGGAGTGAGGGGATCTTCATTCGGGTTGGGGTTCAGGACATCAACCGTGGGGCTCACGGCTCTGCACTTGGCCCCTTGGCCTCACATTTCTGTTTGATCCCCCACAGGGTACTTGGTGCTCAAAGACTTGGGTATCAAAGTGGAAAAGTACGTTGCCTCCGAAGTCTGTGCCGAGTCCATCACCGTGGGCACCATTAAGCATGAAGGCCAAATCAAATACGTAGATGACGTCAGGAACATCACAAAGGGAAATGTGAGGGTGGTCTATTATCCTGGGGTTCATCTTTTGCTTGCTTTTTGTACCCTAGAATTTAGTCTCGTAGTATACTATCTTCTTCCCTCAGGCCTAGCGTTGTGGGTAGAAGAGATGCAGAGACATTTCTGAAAAAGTGACGTACAGGACTTTTAGTGGAATGTGGGCATTGCCTGAGGCTCCATGCACTGGGACTGGGGTTGCTGACTGAGCAAGTTTCTGAGTTTTCTTAGCAACTTCTCTAAGAATCTAAGCTTTCTTTATTTTAAATTAAAAACAATTTATCATCATCATGTGTGTGTGTGTGTGTGTGTGTGTGTGTGTGTGCATGCACATGGATGAGGGTGCCAGTACCATGGTCCATGTGTAGAGATGAGAGGACAGCTTGGTGGAGTTACCCCTCTTCTTCCACACTTACATGGGTTTTGGCGATCACGCCAGGTTGCCAGGCTTGCACCGCAGGTACATCAACTCTACAACCCATCTTGCCTGCCCCGGAATCAAGGCTTCCAGTCCCTCCTCTCTCAGGCTCATCCCGGTCTTTTGTGTTTTCCCTCAGATTGATGAGTGGGGCCCATTTGACTTGGTGATTGGTGGAAGCCCTTGCAATGACCTCTCTTGTGTGAACCCTGTCCGAAAAGGCCTGTTTGGTGAGCATCAGTTGTTCTGATTCACAAAGATCCTAACATATCTAAGTGCTGGTCCATATGGGGTGGCCCCAAGAAGAAGCTGTTGGCTTCTGTTCATTCTTGTTTAGTGTCTTGGTCCTTAAGCACTGCCTGTGCCTTTTGCAAGTCCTGAACCTTCAAAGAAAGATGTCAGGGAACGGTGTTCTGCTGTTCCGTGTCCTCGCCTGGTCATTCCGGGGGACTAAGGGAGTTGGCATGTGAGAGCGTTGACTTGACTTTACTGATGGGGCTTATTGGGATTCTCTTGGTCTCAGGGAATGTGGAGGCTTGTATCGAAGCTTTTGATCAAACCCTGCTCTCTGATGTTCTTTTTTGGATGTAGAGGGCACTGGCCGACTCTTCTTTGAGTTTTATCGATTGCTAAACTACTCACGCCCTGAGGAGTGTGATGACCGTCCATTCTTCTGGATGTTTGAGAATGTGGTAGCCATGGAGGTCGGTGACAAGCGGGACATCTCACGATTCCTGGAGGTGAGTGGTCTGGGTGTCAAGACTTCTTGGGTCAGGGAGACACTGGCATAGAAAGCTTCTGAGTTTTGACAGATGGGGCTGATTTCCCTGTTTTTCACTGGATCTGGGGGGAAGGATACAGCACACTTTTGAGTGCACGGGAGACATTTACCTGTAACATAACCTTGCCCATGCCAGGTACCAATAATGACGCCAACCTGTACTTTCACTTTAGACAGTTCCTTGTTTCCTCTTTCTTCTGAAGATGGTAGCGTTAGGAGTTACAGAGAAGTTAATTGTCTACCACTTAAATTACCTCAACCACCATAGTAGGTCTTTGGATTTCATTTCCTTCCTTCCTTCCTTCCTTCCTTCCTCTTTCTTTTTTCCTCTTTTCTTTTCTTTCTTGGCTTTTCAAGACAAGCTTTTTTTGTGTAGCCCTAGCTGTCCTGGAACTTGATCTGTAGACCAGGCTGGCCTCAAACTCACAGAGATCCGCCTGCCTCTGACTCCCTAGTGTTGGGATTAAAGGTGTGCACTACTAATGCCCGGCTTCTTCTTCTTCTTCTTCTTCTTCTTCTTCTTCTTCTTCTCCTTCTCCTTCTCCTTCTCCTTCTTCTTCTTCTTCTTTTTCTTCTTCTTCTAAGATTTATTATTTCATGTATATGAGTACTCTGTCAGCATGTACATTTACATACCAGAAGAGGGCATTGGGTCCCATCATGGGTGGTTGTGGACCACCATGTGGGTATTGGGAATTGTACTCGGGTCCTCTGGAACAGTAGCTGGTGCTCTTAACCACTGAACCATCTCTCTTGCTCTATATTTGTTTGTTTTTTTTAAGACAGAGTCTCTTGTAACCCAGGATCCCCTTCAACTATTATTGGTCGTCTTCTCTGTACCTCTACAGTACCAGGATTACAGGTGTGTACCACACCTGGACTGTACTTTAGTTTTCTTTAGAATTTTACAATTTTGACCTCAGATGTGATAGAACTGGCTATTTTCCAGCTGCCATATGTTACCTGTGGCTGAGTGTTCTGAGCCATGCATTGCCCACACTGTCTTTCTGCAGCTGGGATTTGACTTGGCAGATTCGAATGTGAAGAACCTCTACCTTTGGCACATTCTGTCACTGGCATGACTCAGAGTGGGCAGGTCTGATCTGACTAGTCACCCACCATTCACAGGCAGAGCTCAGCTGTGTTAGTCATTGTTCTAATTGCTGTGAGGAGACACCATGGTACAGGCAACTCCTACAAAATAAACTAAAAGGTGCTTGATTATAGTTTCAGAGATGTACTCCATTATTATGACGGTGGGGAGCATGACAGCATGCAGATAGGCATGCTGCTGGAGAAGAAGCTCCAAGTTCTACATCCTGACCTATAGGCAGCAGGAAGAAAGGCAGCCTGGACCTGGCATGGGCTTTTGAAACCTCAAAATCCATCCCCATTGTTCTTGAGTTCTCAGTAGTCCTCATTGTCCGCTATGTTCAGCAAGTCCGGTTTTATCCCATGCTTTTTCAGACCCAGGCCAGCTGGCCTTGGTGAATTCCCATTGTCTCAGTGTGTGGGTGCACCCCTCACGGTCCTGAGTTCCTTGCTCATGCTCCCTCTCCTTCTGCTCCTGATTTGGATCTTGAGATTTCTGTCCGGTGCTCCAATGTGGGTCTCTGTCTCCTTTCATCACCTGATGAAGGTTAATATTCAGGAGGATGCCTATATGTTTGTCTTTGGATTCACCTTCTTATTTAGCTTCTCTAGGATCGCGAATTATAAGCTCAATGTCCTTTATTTAAGGCTAGAAACCAAATATGAGTGAGTACATCCCATGTTCCTCTTTTTGGGTCTGGCTTACCTCACTCAGGATAGTGTTTTCTATTTCCATCCATTTGTACGCAAAATTCAAGAAGTCCTTGTTTTTTACTGCTAGTAATACTCTAATATGTATATATTCCATACTTTCTTCATCCATTCTTCCATTGAAGGGCATCTAACAATGGCAATGGATTTTTGATCCTACTGCACGTACTGGCTTTGGGGGAGCCTAGGCAGTTTGGATGCTCACCTTACTAAACCTGGATGGAGGTGGGCGGTCCTTGGACTTCCCACAGGTCAGGGAACCCTGATTGCTCTTCGAGCTGATGAGGGAGAGGGACTTGATCGGGGGAGGGGGAGGGAAATGGGAGGCGGTGGCGGGGAGGAGGCAGAAATCCTTAATAAATAAACAAATTTAAAAAAATATCCATCCCCAGTGGCACACTTCCTGCAATGAGGTCACACCTCCTAATCCTTCTAATCCTTTAAACAGTTCCACTTCCTGGTGACTAAACATTCAAATATATGAGCCTATGGGAGCCATTCTTATACAAACTACCACATTCTGCTCTTTGCACTACCCCTGTAGGCTTGTAGTCATATCATAATGCAAAATACATTCAGTCTAACCTCAAAAGTTCCCATAGTCTACCATAACCTCAACACTGTTTAAAAGTCAAAGGTTCAAAATCCCTTTTGAAACTCATGGTAGTCTCTTAACTGTAACCTCCTGTAAAAATCAAAATAAAGAAGCAGATCACATACCTCCAATATACAATGGCACAGGACATATATTACTATTCCAAAAGAGAAGAAAGGGAACATAATGAGAAAATACTGGACCATAGAAAACTGAAAACGAGCAGGGCAAACTTCAAATCTACATCTCCACATCTGATGTCAAAACACACTTTAGATCTCCAATTTGCCTCAGCTTTGTTGAATGTAACACACTTCTCTTTTTTGGGCTGGTTTCAGACTTGGTCTACAGCTCTCTGTGGCAGGTATTCCACAGCTCTGGCATCTCCAACGTCTTGGCATCTCCAACACAATCCAGGCTTCACCTTCAGAACGACACATAATGGCCTCTCTGGGCCTCTAGGCAGGGACACCACTGACACACTTCTGGCGTCAGTTGCCTTCCTTAGCCAAGGAGGACGAGTCCATAACCCCTTTCTTGTATTTTTGACTCTAAAACGAGAGCCATGTGAACCAAGTTCTGCTGCTTGGTGGGGCTGGAATTTGGGCCCCCTGTTCAGTTACATCTGCATCAGCTTTCTGTTGTTGGTGGTTTCCTTCACTGCCTAATCTTTTCTTTAATTCCTTTTCACAAGTTGGAAACAAAATTGGGTGGGGTCTTGCCCTGAGATCATCACTCCCTTTTACCACTCCCTTTTTTCCATTTAGCAGCAAGCTTTTTTTTTCTTTAATATTTATTTATTATGTATATAGTGTTCTGTCTTCATGCAGGCCTACATGCCAGAAGTGGGCACCAGATGGTTGTGAGCCACCATATGGTTTCTGGGAATGGAACTCAAGACCTCTGGAAAAGCAGCCAGTGCTTTTAACTTCTGAGGCATCTCTCCAGCCCTGCATCAGGCTTTTTTTTTTTTTTAAATCTCCTTGAACATTGGATTTAGCTCTATTTCACTTTCTGGTGCTTCTTTTCCCCTCAAACTGTATTTCTCTTTATCTAGCTCGATCCTTTTCATTATAGATCGGCATAAGAATGATTATTGATAACCACACTACATAGTCTTCCTGAAATCTTCTCTATCAAAGCCCTTAATCCAAAATTCTTCAGTTTAGCCTCAGGCAGATATTTAGGACAGGAGCAGAGAACAGCCGCATTCTTTGCTAAGGTATCACAAGAATGGTCTCTAGACCACTTACTAATATTCTTCCCCTCTGAAACTTCTTGAACTGGCCCTCATTGCTCTAAGTGTTACTGCTCATGTTCCTACTAGTATGCCCCACTTCCAAGCTTTAGTGTTCAGATGTTTTTCTTTCCAAAGTCCACATTCTGCCAACGAACAGCATGGTCAGCTCTCTCACAGCAATACCCAACTCCTGGTACGAACTTCTGTCTCGGTGCTGTTCTGTTGCTGTGAACCACATCAGCTCTGCTCCAGCAGCCTCTTGGTGAGAACTGTCTGTCTCCTTGTCTCTTGTATAGCTAGGAAAACCTTGTCACCTGACAGATCAGACCTGGGCTGACTGACAGCTGAGTCTTGGGGTGTCTCCAGCAGCTCCCCTTCTCTTCCTGCAGTGTAACCCAGTGATGATTGATGCCATCAAGGTTTCTGCGGCTCACAGGGCCCGATACTTTTGGGGCAACCTGCCCGGGATGAACAGGTAAGAACCCTGAGAGGGACAGGTAACAGATAGCAAAGTTATATACAAGTCTGATTGACATTCCAACCTTCTAGAAAGTCCTGGCTTTAGGATGCTCTGGACTGGAGCACTGGGTAGAATTGCTTGGGCAGCTGCCTTGCTCTAGCTGCAGGGTAGCTGTTTCTCAAGGTCCCCTTGAGGACTGAGAACTGTGATGCCTGCCTATTCTTCCTGCTGTGTTAAGGCTTCCATTGCAAATGTTAAAGAAACCATACCTTCTGCTGCTGAGATGAAGTAGGGCCTGGTCTATGTGACTAGTGACCAACAAGGGGGCGGAGCTGAGGTGTCAAATAGTAACATAGACACTAGGTCCCTCTACTTAGTCAGGATCATTTTCCATCCTTAAATTTTTTTTTTTGAGATTATAATTTAATTATAACATTGCTTCCTCCAAATTCTTCCTTATACTCCTCCCTGTTCTCCTTTACATTCATGGCCTTACTTTTTAATCACCTGTTAATGTATACATATATGTATTTGTATATACATACATATTCCTAAATATAACCTTTCACATCCATATGTTACTTGCATGTATGTTTTCAGGGCTGTTTGGCACTAGACAACCATTTGGTGTGCTCTTCCCTGGGGAAGGTCGCCCTTCCCATTGCTTTCCTCCGAGTTCTCTGGAGGGTTGAGGCATCATGGGCTTTCCTCATCCACTTTGGCGTAGTTGTTGGTGTCGTCCTTGTTCATCTCGCCTTGTGTAGCCATAGCCAGTTTTCAGTCCTAGGTGGCTCTGCAGAGGCCTCTTTGCACTGTCCTTTGTGATTTCAGGAACAGCTTGCCGACTAAGCTGTGAAACGCCACTGTAGTGACCATCCCACATAGGCAGCAGAGTCACACTGTGAAACACTTTCTGAAAGATGTGTTAGAAGCCTAAATTTTGGGAGTCTGGCAGAGTGTGGACAGAAGTCAGAGCGTCCTGGAACAGCTTGGAGATTTCTCTTAGATATTGTAGCTTTTCTTTTAGTTCACATTTTTAATATTGTTTTCACCCCTCGGACAGTTAATATTTATTCAGCTAACCATCTAATCAGAAGGTACCATGTACTTGTTTGGAATCACATGGGCTGATCCATTCAACACTCAGGCGCTCCCTGCCAAGCGCTGTATTGCTGCCAATTCAATGGGGGACACGATGATGTCAGGGGCTCTTGTAGAGTAGACATTAGTGGGAGGGTAGAGAACACAGGGAGTAATTGTACATTCAGGGCTGGGGAGGTGGCATTGGAAAGTAGGGTGGGGAAAGGGAGAGGCCTCATTCAGCAGAGCTAAAGGAATGGAGCCAATCGAGGCAGAAGAGAGGGAAGGCTCTGGGTAGATGGTGGGCAGGCATCCCCAGACCAGCTTGGAGAGCAGTGTTCTTAAGTCAAGAGTGGCTTAAAAAGACAGGCGCAAGTATCTCTGGCTGGGATACTACAGGCATGTTATAAGGTGCCATTTATTGTACATGTACACTATGATAGATATTATAAGAGATTAATTTTAATTAATTTAAGCAATTAAGATATTCTGTTTCTAGTAAAAGGAAAAGAGAAAGAGAACAGAGACGGGCACATTGCCGAAAGAGGTGAGATGGTCAACTATTACGCTGTGTCCCAGAAGGGGCCATCCAGTGAGAAGACAGATGAGGTTGGTGGTAGTGACCTCTGGAGTTTGTAGGATGGCAGGATATTTGCACATTTGTTTACACATTTGGTGGCTTCCAGGCTAAGAGGACGGGCTGCTGTAAGTGAGCTCTGATGGGTGACAGAGTGGTCAAGGAAACGTGTCAGATGGGGGCGAATGTGAGTAAAGGAATTCCACACTAACTCCAAATAGGGCATAATATGGGGTTCCTTATTAAAGGGCAACTCACAGATCACAACGGAAAACAGGCAAGGAATCCAACATCCAGGTATGGTAAGCAGGGAGTGAATTATAACGTAAATATCTGTGTTTTTTGATGGTCTTAGGCAACTCCTGTAAAAGGGTTGCCCATCCATAAAGGGGTTGAGATCCACAGATTGAGAACGCTGATCTAGACCAGACTCCTCTATTACGTATGTCTGGTTTGCAGGGTTTCCCTGCAGTGCTCCCAGCCCTCTGGGTGAGCCTCACTTTGCCCGATACTAAAACCCAAAATACACAGAAACATTCCCTCTGGGCGCTGGGCAGTACTCTTCAGGGACTGGTGGACTCTGTCTCACCACACAGACTTGTTGGTTCTCACCCTGGTGCCAAACATGGTCCCTGCCAGAGTACACTTGGGCAGATTCTTTCCTTGCCTGCCTTGTGAGGTCTCTAGCATAGCCCCGCAGGGAGAATAACGGGTTTTGGCTGTTCCCAGGCCTGTGATAGCTTCCAAGAATGATAAGCTCGAGCTGCAGGACTGCCTGGAGTTCAGTAGGACCGCAAAGGTAAGATGCTGAGCAGGCTGTGCCGCACCTTCTGGAAAACTGACCTGGGCTCTCTGCACACGGCTCCTGCTCATTCCCTCACAGACCCCTGGCGCTGGGCCCCTTTCCCCACAGACTCTTCTCTCTTCTTCAAGTTCAGAGTAACAACCCCAGCAGGAAGACCCAGCCGCGCTCTGCGGTGGTGATGCTGGAGGCAGGGAGGCTGTGCTGCAGGTGCTCTTTGCAGTAAGGACAGTGGCGGATGCTGTTGCCAAAGGCTGTGCTGTGAAGTCACAGATGCACAGTGAGGCCTCAGAGCCTTCTCCTCCATGTCTGTGAAAAGCAAAGGCCTGATGCTCAAGCGCTGGTGACCATTCTGAGTCTGGATGGTTTCTGCTCTTAATGACCTCATCGACCAATGACCGGTGTCTTGGCCCCCATGTGATCCTTCATGGTCACTAAAATTCATGTAGCATCTGTGGAAGCACAAAGAATCTGTCCAAGTCTCTGTCCTCTCCCTGTGTCTGCCTGTCCCTGCCAGCTCTCCAGACTCATGCCTTCATGCCTCTGATGCTTCTGAGCCTGACCCCACTTGGAAGCCTTCTGCGCTCACCCCGCGATATTGTTTTGTTCTCCAGTTAAAGAAAGTACAGACAATAACCACCAAGTCGAACTCCATCAGACAGGGGAAAAACCAGCTTTTCCCTGTAGTGATGAATGGCCAGGACGATGACTTGTGGTGTACTGAGCTCGAAAGGTGAGTGCATAGGTCCTTTGCTATTGCTTGATAGGACACAGGACATTTATAAAACAAAGGGTTTATTTGTGTTTATGGTTCCAGAGGAATTAGAGTCCATGATATCAGGGATGTAGGAAATGTGGCACAAGCACGATGGCTCCATGGGAAAGCTGAGAACTTCCATCTGCTAGCATGAATGCAGAGAGAGAGAGTGTGAACTAGAAATGGTACACTCTTTAAACTCGCAAAGGTCTCCCCCAGTGACATGCTTACTACAGCAAGGTCGCATCTTCTCAACCTACCCCCAAAGCATTACCAACTGGGGACTGTATTCAAATGTCATTATCACCTGGGAACTGTATTCAAATGTCTGAGACTATGGGGTGCTTATCATTCTCCTTACCACGGTGAACAAGGCTGCATTTGGAGAGACAATCTGTGGGGACAGAGACAGGAAGGAGAATGTGTAGCCTGAGCCAGCAGCACACACAACGTTAGTTCCCAGCCTTAGCTGCCTTGCTTCTTCCAGGGCCCACTGGCCCGATGTAGTGGGGTCTACATGATAACAGCTTTTCAGAACTAACCTTTATTTTCCCACAGAAATGGTGGCACTGTGGTAATGAGAACTCTCAGGCGAAAGGTTATTTGATAGTGCTGCCTCTCTGTCACCTGCACTGCCCTGACACCTTCCTGTCCCATCTTTCTGGGTTCTTTGGAAAATGGGAAACACCTCTGCAATTTCAGCCACACTTCTCATGGGGCAGCTGATTCCTCCTTGGTCACGGATGTCTTTGATCTTTTACACTTTATTGGGCTAAGTGGTCCGTTGTCATGTAAAGATCCATCTCTTGGATTTCAAGGTTTTTTTTCTTTTTCTTTTTTATTTTGTACCTCTATTCTGAAGACTTTTGTATTGAATATTTTCAACACGAATCTCAGTTCTGGTTTTATTTTTTCTTTAACAAATAGTGTTAATAAAAATATAACCGCTTTTTAGGGGTAAGACAATGTCTCCCTCTGTAGCCAGCCTACTCTGTAGCCAGCCTGGAACTCAGTATGTAGCTAGGTTGGCCACAAACTCATGGCAAACTCATGGTCACAAACTCTTGCTTCTGCCTCCCAAGTGCTGCACGACAGGCATGAACTACCATGCACAGCCTAGAAAGTTAATTTCTGGGTTGGAGAGAGGGTTCGGCAGACAACCTTAATTTGACCTGAGAAAGTTGTCCTCTGCCCAAACACATATACACATGTATATGCACAAACTAAATTCAAATAATTGAAAAATAGCAATTTCTCATTAGTAGAAAAACTGTAGATACCATTGCTCAATCTATGAAGAGAATCTTCCGGAAACCCTAGTATAAGTTGTTCAGAGTTGTGATTCAGAGGCCTGGGGCAGAAGGATGACACAGTGGAACTTTCAAAGCAAAGGAAAGCAACCCTGGGGACAGCCATTGGCCCATTGGTGCTGTTTCTGGAACTGGGTTATAAGAATTTATTTCTTTAAAATATTATTGCATGTGGATTGTTGTTTTGCCTGCATATATGTCTGTGCTCGGACAAATGCCGTGGGCAGACTCTGAATTCAAAATTGTACTAAACTGAGCTGGGCTTGAAAATCTGCTCTGCTATTTTGGGAGTGGCTTTGTTCCTTCTTAAAGAGAGTGCAGGACCGAGGACAGGGCTTAGGCCTTAAAGTACTTGTCAGGGGTTTTGAGTTCAAGGCAAGTGTGGCAGGCAGAGCCAGAGGATCCCTGGCAGTGCTGACCGCTGGCCAGCCTAATCTGCAGATTCCAAGAGACCCTGTCTCAAGAAACAGAGGAGGTGAAGGCATGGTCCTTGAGGAGTAACACCTGAGGACTTAGGATGACCTCTGGCCACATGGACACAGACATGTGCACACATCCATCTCTTCATCCCAAGAAGTCGCTAAACTTCTCTTATTGTGTTTTAGAGTCAAATACAAGTGGGCAGGCTGACTGGCAATCATTCATGGATTAATTCACACTAGGCGTTTAAAATGGTCCCTGTAGAGCACCTAAGGACCAGAAGCATAGTCCCTGTGAGGGTGACACAAGACAGCTCCAGTGCCCTGTGACTGTTATAGTTGTATCAGCTGTCAGCAAGTATTCTGAGGAACCAGTGGGGTCTAGAAGGTTCCTTTGAGTCTAATAGTCCTGAGTGAGGCTGGTAGCTTTCCTAGGCCTGACTTCCAGAACACAGTTGTTCTTGGTGTACTAGGGACCTGGTCCTTCTAACCTGGTGACTTTTCACTCTGTTCTCTCCCAGGATCTTTGGCTTTCCTGCACACTACACAGACGTGTCCAACATGGGCCGTGGTGCCCGCCAGAAGCTGCTGGGGAAGTCCTGGAGTGTGCCAGTCATCAGACACCTCTTTGCCCCCTTGAAGGACTACTTTGCATGTGAATAGTTCTACCCAGGACTGGGGCGCTCTGTGGTCTTGGGGTCATACTGATCCTCGAAGCACCCCAGCTCTGCCCTTCCTTTGCTCACCTCCTGGGGTCTCACTATATACTCAGCTCTCTTCTGCTCAGTGGGAGCAGAACCTCCTGGCCCTACAGGGGAACCTCCCTGTGCACAGCTCAGATCTGGCATCTTACAGTGGCCCAACATGGTCCTCATGTTTTCCAAGTTTAAAACTTTAAAACCAAGCTGAGCAGTGGTGGCGCATGCCTTTACTCTCAGTACTTGGGAGGCAGAGGCAGTCAGATCACTGTGAGTATGAGACCAGCCTGGTCTACAGAACAAGTTCCAGGACAACCAAGACTACACAGAGAAACCCTGCATTGAGGCTTTGTTTCCACAGTTTTTCGCTGATTTTTAGGCTGAAAGATAACAGATGCATAGAGTTTACCCTTTTGTTTCATTAAAATCAGTATTTCTCAGCAATAATCTCATCTGCACTTTGTTCTTCTGTGGAAGTGTGCTGTTGGTCATCCATGCACCAAGCACAGGGCTGCCTGGGATCTGCAGAGGCTCACGGAGCCTGAGAGCTACTGCAGAGCTCTCAAAGCCCTGCATCACCGTGCCCTGGGGACTTCTGACAGTCAGTCCTTCTCCAGCCCTATTGGCAGCATCTGCTTCCTCTGTGGCTGCTCCAGGGAGGACAGTGGACTAGAAAGGTCCATTTAAGCCTTAGATTCTAGTTTATTTTCTGTTTCTCTGACCTGCTGGGCCTAGTGGCACACCTTTAATCCAAGCACAGGGAAAGCAGAAGCAGGTGGATCTTCAGGAGTTCAGGACAGCCCAGTCTACATATCAAGTTCCAGGCTAGCCAGGGCCACACAGTGAGACCCTGTATGAAACAAAACATCCCCTCCGCCCAGAGAAAACAAAAGCGAAAACCAACACAAAACCCCACACTCTAACCCAAAGCAACTCAGCATTTATTTGGCTTACATTTCCAGGTCACAGACCATCATCGAGAGAAGTTAGGGCAGAAACTCAAGCAGGAACTGAAAGCAAAACCATGGAGAAATGCTGCTTACTGGCTGACTCACAAGTTTGCTCAGCTAGCTTCTTACACAGCCCGGCCCACTTGCCTATGAATAGCACCGCCCAAAGTGGCCTGGGCCTTTTCACATCAATCATCAATCAAGACAATCTTTCAGAGACCTCGCGCCAGGCCAATCTGATCTGGGTAGTCCTTGAATGAGACTTCCTTTTCTCAGATGACTCTAGGTTGTGTCCAGTTGACAAAACCAACTAACTAGGACACCTGGCAAAGGCTTGATTGTGTCACCTGTCTCCAGACTTCTTAGGAAGCTAAGATGATTGGGTACCCAAGCAGAAGAAGATGAGTCCTGATTTCTACGGTTCCTCACAACTTCCGTGGGAGCCTGCTGAACCCCATTTCCCAGTTGTCCAGCTGATAATTTTATCTTTAAAGACCAGGCTGGCTTGGAATGGCTCTTGAGATTCTAACAAGCTTTTTAAGTTTTTGATTTTATCTATTATTATTATTATTATTATTATTATTATTGTGATGATGATGATGGTGATGATGATGATGAGTGTTTAGCACAGCATGTGTGTAGAGGTCACAGGACAACTTTGTGGAATGGGTTCTACTTCCACCTTTACATAGGCCCTGGGCATCATCTTCAAGTCATCAGGTTTGGGCAGCAGGCTCCCTCAACGTGAACCATCTCACGGGCACTAAACGTGATCTTTTATCTAGACTGGTTTACAGTGAGTTGGATGCCCAGACTAACATCATATCTATTGACCATTTAAAGATGTACTTGTTTCTTCACACTCAAAACTGTAATTGTCTCCGGTGGCTCTTCCTTAATTTAGCCGGAGACAGCTAGCAACCAAGGTATTCAACACTCAGAGCCCAACATGACATGCTGCTGCCTTTAATTAAGAAGTAGGGGCCACGGAGAGGCCATACTTCAGTTACTAGCATGTGGGACAGAGGGTAAGGTGTGAACAGGGGCATGCGACCCTGTATCAACCTCACACTGATTCCTCTCTGCATCATGGTGTGACATGGCTTGACCTTCATAGGTCAGGGCCTCATAGGGGCTGGATCAGCGTTAACTAGTAGTAACAGGTAGGACGGGAAGAAGCTTCGCAACTGGAAGGATGGGAAACCACACTGGTTGTTAGAAAGTTGTCTCTGGCTAGAGAGTCCCTGGTGAGATTTGCCATGGTGACACAACTGGCAATTAGTAAAAGACGAGGCCTGTGTACTCTACTCTCTGCGGACTTGGGACCAGAGGGATGGCTGCTGCCCAATTAAGCCATCTTGTATACAGCTCTTCACCAAATGCCAGGACAAGATGAAGCCGAATAAGCAGCTCCCTCCTCAGAACCTCAAGAAGAGAAATCGACGGGCCCTCCAGGTGAGGGGCTCTGGGGTGTCCCGGCCTGCTTGTGAGGCAGCTGGTGGAGACCTCGAAGGGGGCTGTTGTAATCTGTAACTTCTCTCAGGCTATCTAGGCTTGAATCTGAGTAACCCAGGCTGTGTGACTATGGGAGAGTATGGACATATTGCGACAAAGGTTGGAGTTGGCATCCCATGTAGGTCTCTTGGAATGCTCTTGTGAATTTGTGTCTGGGGTCTGACACACTGCTGTATTGCCTTAAGCAGATACCTTGAGTTCTGGACTTTTTAATTTCCCATTTAAAAGGCAAGATTGATACATCCTATGTACTTTATAGGTTAGTGAATTCCATGGGCGCGATCTGGAGTAAATGCTGTGCTTTGTGCCCCTTAGGCAGCAGGCCTTGCACTTGAAATAGACGCCATTAAGAAAATGAAAGCCATCTGTCATCTTGGTGTTAATGGCAGTGAAGACGTGGTAATGAGAGCAACAAACAATGTTTATGAATCACGAAATCCTTAAAAAGGATGAAGCAGTATTGCCCAGATGTGCAGCAGCTGCCCACTGATGCCAATGTTGGCAACAGCAGCATCTGATGTTGTGTCCTCATTGTCTTTCACTGTTTGAGGTCTTAGTGTCCCTTATTAGGGAAGGAGCAAGGTGGCTTTGGGGGCGAGGTGGGGATCTTGTCTGAATTTCAGGACCTGGCCCTGGCCATGTGGAGGGGTAGGGTGAGCACCAGGCACATGACTCTCCCATTCTTCCATCCCTCTTGTTTTCTAGCTAAGTGATGAAGTGTTTGTACTGGGATATTCTTTCTTGGTCCTTTATTTCTCTCTGGAGCCAGATTATCTAGGTTCCCATATTGGTGGCCTATTCCTTCTTGTGTATGTGGGTGTTTTGGTATCTTCATTGGGTCTCTCTACTCCCCAGTTACGAACCCTCAGCCTCACCTGGGCTGATATGTGGATCAAATGATTGAGTGTTTGGGAAGCATGGCTGAGAAATGCTATCTCCTGCAGTTGAGCCCTCTTAGAAACTTTTGGGAGGTCTGACCACTGCAGCTACAGGGAAAGAGAGCAGGGAGAGGCCCCTTCACAGGGTCACACAGCTATCAGGGTTAGGGTAGCAAGTAGAAGCCTGATCCCTGAAGCCAGTCTAGCTTTTCTCCTTGATCCTGCCTGCATCTTGTTTTGCTTTGCTTTGGTGGAACTTAAAATTCCCTGCAGCCTTTGGCCCGTGTACAGTTTGTTGCCTTCATGCTGCCTTCCTACCTTCCAGTCCCAGCGCCCTCCTTTCTCACTGCCTATCTTGCTTCCTCCCTTTTTTCTTCTCCTGTCAAAATTTATTGAGTTCAAAAAACTTGGAATTAAAATTTTTATATGTGTTAATGTGTGTATGTGTGTGCATGCACCACAGCCTATGTGTGGAGGTCAAAAGACAGCTTGTGGGAGTCAGTTCTCTCCTTCTATGATGTGGGTCCTGTCTCTATCGCCCCAGTTCTGGGATTATAGGTACTTGCTGTCATGCCACGCTTTTATGTACATGCTGGGGATTTGAACTCAGGTCCTCATGCTTGTACACCAAGCACTTTACTAATGGAGCCATGTCCCCAGTCCCTGTTTTTGATTGAGTGTGGGTCTTGAAGCCTCTATATATGATACATCATGATAGCCTGTAATCTTGGCACTTGGGAGGCAGAGGCAGGAATGGAAGACAGCATGATCTACAGACCGAGTTCCTGTCTGGGCTACATAGTGGGACTCTGACTCTAGAAGCAGCGACAGCACCAAAAATGGTGTGTGCGTGTGTATGTGCACGCGCGCACACACACGCATGTGTCACAGAATGGCATGTAGCCCAGATTAGCCTTGCACTTGTGATCCTCTTGCCTTCAGCTCCCAAGCGCTGGGATTAGAGGCTGGGGCCACCATACCTGGTTTCCAAAACTGTTTCTCTGACAGAATGGAATTCTCTTTTCCACTTATTTTCTGATGAAAATGTACTGAGATGAAGATAAGCTTGGGTATTAGTTATTTTTCTTGTCATTGTGAGCAAGCCCATCAGGCATGTCAGCAGAGCGCGGGGACAGGCCTCTCTGGAGCTGTGAGTGTGTGGCAGTGTGTTTACATCCCAGTGGCAGAGAAGCAGAGAAGGGGAATGCTAGCACTCAGTGGGCTTCTTCCTGCCCCCCTTTTCTATTCAGACCAGGACCCCAGGCCATGGGAAGGTCCCCATCATGCTCAGCATGGGTCTTTCTTCCTCAGTTAAACCTCCTGGAAAATATCCTGCCCTCACAGCCATGCCCAAACTCTTCTAGGTGACTCTAAATATAATCAAATTGTCACTAAGGATTAATGGTGGACTGACCGGGCCACAGGCTTCTCTCTCCTCTATGGCAACTGTCATGCGTTGTAGGTGAGCTTTATTTCAGAAGCTCTGATCCAGGCACCTCCCAAGACTCCCTGTGCTTCTAGAGCTGAGTCTATACCTCACTCCTGTACTAGAAGCACCCCGACCACCTAGACAAGAGGGTATTGCTGTGTTGCCTAGGCTGGCATAGAACTCAGTCTCCCAAGGGCTAGGATTCCAGGTGTGCACCACTACACCCATCTCAAAGCACTAGTGACCTGGTCCATTGATCTCATTTTCACATTAATGTCCTCACATCCCAAACAAAATGACCTGTTAAGGATGAAACAATGAAGCTGCACAATTCGATAATTGACACGAAGTGAAAGAACTCAGAACTAACATTTATTGCG